TTTCCCCCCCCCCCCCCCCCCCCCCCCCCCTTGTGTAATCTGCGGCTTCTCACGTCACAAATGGATAAAACTGCAATTAATATATAGAATTCAGTCTCCTGTTTTGCTTAATTTACAGTTTCAGTACCATTAAAAAAAAAAAGTCCTATTGTTATAGACTTGTTTTTAATGGCACAAGGAAAATTTTGCGTGATTTACATGTTTTATCTTTCATGAGGGGACCACCCAACCTAAAATGTACGATTTTATATCTTGCAACATTCAGAACCGTTTGTAAAAGTCTGAGTATTTGGTCTCTTCTAAGCGGAGGGGATAATTGTAGATTTGAGTAGTCGGTCCCGTGTGGGTGCCAGCAGGTATCTTTCTCATTTTATTTGACAGGTTGCATTGTTAGTCATGGCATTGGCATATGGTCCGATCCTAATATCTTGCTTCCACAGGTTCCATGTAGGCATTCCATTGACAGCTGTAGATAATAAATTTGACTTCCAAAAAAAAAAAACACGTAATTGGCATATTGGGGTTTGGTTTGCGCATGAGTAACTGATTTAAAATGATTAATGGATGATAATTAGAAACTTAGCTCTTAACCTAGTCTGTTATAGCCTAGTGGAACCCACTATAGTACCTGTATACAGTAATTGCAGCTAAAAGAAAATGGCAGAATACAGTAAGTGCTGCAGCAAAGATTAAAACGCCTTGTGCCGACAACATCTTGCAGAGTCAGAACGCCTTAATGGATGAAAAGCGTTGTTGATTGGAACTTTGGCTGCTGCTTATGTGTGAGAGCGGCGGTCTCACAGGGTGTTTTAAAAGTGTATTCCCACTTTTTGCAGTCAAATTTTGAGAAAACCCTTCTGTTGTGCATTCCTATTCACACTGAAATTTTATTTTTGTAAATGTCTTGCCTTTTTAGATGTTTTGTTGCAGCAGGCAATATGGCTGATTTCTAGTTTTATCAGCACCTTCACAGTGATCTGTCCTTGTAGAAAGCCTTAGGACTGAATTTTTGTGCATTGCATTTCTCTCATTTAACCTCATTAACATACAATGGAGAAGCCAGGGTTGTAATCCTTTACACCCTCCAAACATTACAAAGAATGAAAAGCAAGTAGAAATGTTAACCTTCAAGAATCCCTAACCCGAGTAAAAGCAATTCAAACTGCAAAATGTGAATGGGAACATCTATCAAATATATAAAATAGGTGTTCACACCGTTTGGGTGCGAAGTGGAAATACACTTCAACTCGGCAGCTAAAACAAAACCCTAAGACAGCAGGTTTATTGCTGTATATGCAATCTGATTCATTCTAGTAATATACAGGGTTGAATTTGGGTGCAAAAGTGTATCTAAGCCCAGGAACAACAATGTAATGCAGCTTACCAGTCCTGGATCTGGTGATTTTTGTGTTTCTTTTCATTTCTGAGGCTACCAGTCCCGTGATATTGATCACAATCCCATGTAAACCTACAAAAAAAAAAATGTGCAGATTCCCCGTAAGCAGAAATTTGTGTATATGTTGTTTTAGGTTCGGTGGTTCTCCAGTGATGTTTTGTCTGTGTACGCAGTAAATGGCTATCCGAAATCATTTGGCACTTTTCTATAATGGTCTTGGGCTGCCGATTCTTGCGTTAGCCGGCCACGTAACCTTTTCTGTGATCTCTGTATCCTCAGGCTTGCTGCAGCCTCACCTGGAGAGAGTGGCTAGAGATGCCCTGCAGCTGTGCTGCCTTCTGCTCCCACCTCCAAACCGCAGGAAGCTACAGCTGCTGATGAGGATGATCTCCCGCATGAGCCAGAACGTGGATATGCCGCGACTGCACGATGCCATGGGCACCAGATCTCTGGTGAGAAAGCAGTTTAATCACAAGCATTGCTAGGTCAGATGTTGGTTGCTGCACAGCGTGGCCTGTATGCTGTTTGTTGGCTCCCTTTTTGTAGCCGTGTCTGTAAGCCTTGGACAATAAATTGTACACAAGCACATTTTCTTCACTGATCTGTATATTTGCAGATGGCATTTGTATTGCTATAATTTGTATAGAACTTGGTCTTTGATCTTTCTGGAGCTGAAGGCTTTCATAATTTTGTGGTATCCTGTCCTTCCAGATGATCCAGACTTTCTCCCGATGTGTACTGTGCTGTGCTGAGGAGGTGGATCTGGATGAATTACTTGCTACCAGACTGGTCTCCTTCCTCATGGACCATCACCAAGAGGTCCTGCAAGTGCCCTGCTATCTGCAGACGGCCGTGCAGGATCATGTTCAGTACCTCCAGAGACCTCGTGTAGGTGATCATTTTGGAAACCGTTGTTCAGAAGACTTTTGGTTTTTCCTGGGGTGTAAAGTGCTTCAGTATGTCCGTCCTTATGAGGAATTAGAGCTTTAGAGTTCCACCCAACCTGCATATTACATGAAATATATGTGGGGTCATCTCCTCACTGGTCATGGCAGATACTTCCAAATGGGACTCCCCCCAACTTTTCTTTCCTCCCTTTAACCTGACAGGGTTATATTATTGAGAATGCAAGAGGCAGAGTTGGAATAGACCGGGAAACCTTGTAACTGGTGCACCAATAAGATATAGGATTCCAACTAGAATCAAAATACCGTATTTGCCAGCGTATAAGGTGACTGGGTGTATAAGACCCCCCCCCCCCCCTAAATTTCCACTTAAAACATAGGTTTTGGGCTATACTCGTCATATAAGACTACCCTTCTTCCGTGGCAACACCATTTTAAAAACATCATGGATGGATGTGCGGTTATACTGTATGTACGGTAGCTTCTGCTACATACAGTGTACCGCGCTGAGCCAATCACGGCGAGCAATGTATTCTATTAATGAATACAAAGCTTGCTTGGATTGGCAGAGGTTGTGTACATCGCTCGCTGTGATTGGCTCAGCTACTGTATGTAGCCAAAGCTACCGTACATACAGTATTACCGCACATCCAGCGGGCTGACAGATTAGGGATGTTCGTTTTGGGCCAGCTTGGCCTAAAAGGAACTGAAGGTATACATTGTATACCCCGCGTATAAGACGACCACCGATTTTTTGTAGTATAAAAAGTAGTCTTATACGCCAGCAAATACAGTACCACCTTAGCACGCATTGAATAAGCTTTATACTTGGGAGTAAGCTGGGTGTACACTGTTATATTTTTTTTTTTTGTTCAGCCCGCAGGTTAAACGAAAAAAATATAGGATTCCCCCATTCATGCTAAACACATGGATGAACAAATCTCCCGCTCTGTGCTATGAATTCTGACAGCGGCAGGGGTGGATGGTCAGCTGTTGTCATTCACCCCTGATCAAAGAATGCCAGACAGAAGGGTGGTGACAGGGCTGCGAACCAGCGATTGTCATCTGGTTCATCAAGAACCAGCTTGGATCGATACATTGTATAGCCAGCTTTACATTTAATATGTGGACTTGTTCACCATAGATGTACGATATGCAGAAACCTCTTTTGATGAATTCAGCAGCCAAAGACAAATCCTGATTGGTTGGTTTGAGTGCCCGCTTTCCTCATTCGTTGCTTTGTTTTCATACATTCCAACTCATTGCTTTTGGGCTCTCTGAATAGTGTAGCACCATGTGTATGATGTGGCCAATGAAGTATTTATGTGGTTGTCCTTCCACAGCCCCATGTTGTCCTATTCTGTACATTTTGTAGGAATCTTCCTTTTTAATAATGGTGTTTTTGTTTGTGTAGGTGAAGGGCCAGCCTCCAGGCTTTTATTTCTGTAAGCAGATAAGCGCTCAGGAATTTGAGGCGCAGAAATTGGTGACGTCACAGGCTGCTATTATGGAGCTGCTGGAGAGTATTGTGAGGGACAAAAACCTCTCTGTGAAGGACAAGAAGAAGAAGCTAAAACAGGTCAGACCTTCTCTACCCAGCTAAGTGACTGTCACTCCCAGGTTTACTTGGTAAAGCAGAGCGGGAGAAGAGTGAAGCTGGCCATATACAGTTGAATTTCCCCCACGAGCCTGAACAAAAGAAATCACTTGAATTCCCCCATCCACACTAAAACAAATGAATGGAGGAATTTTGTTGTTTGGGGAGCCAACCAGGTCATCCATAGCACATTTTTTGACCAATTCTACAGGAATCGGCCAAAATTCAAGCCGTGTATGGCTAGAATTAGTTTCTTTCGGATTTTCAATGTCTGTGTCCTAACAGCAGATTTTCCTCCTCCCTTCCTGCCCCTGTGACATCAAGACAAAAAAATTAGGGGAACAGGTGTCAAGGGCAGACACGGCAATAAAAACTGGACCATAGTCTCAACCGTTCCCCATTCTCTCCTGAAAAGAGAATGCACTTTAGTGTTCATGTTGGAGAGATTTCCTATAGTCTCCGGGTTTGTCTGTGACACACTGTCATCCGTACAGGAAGTGCAGAGAAATATCCCCAAAGGGGAACCAGGATCACACCGGCACACCGGAAGAATCGGTCAAATTAATATGTTATTGACGCATGTTGTCACAATGAAAACAAGGTTCCGGGGCCAAGCAGGGTCCTCTTCATCAGTCTCGGTATGACCACATGTCCATACTGAACCTGATAAAGGGGACCCTGTGTGGCCCTGAAACGTCGCTTTCATTGTGACAGAACGTGTCAGTAAAAGGTGTTTGTCTTGTTCTTCTGGTGTGCTGGTGACTTCCTGGTTCATTGATCTTCTTTTTTTTTTCAGCACCATCTGCAGTTTTTTCAGCACCCACTTTCAAGGGTTTCCGCTAAGGAGTGTGGTGGGATACCTATTCGTTGTGCCCCCTCTGGGGATATCTAAATCACTCAGAATTGCTAACCCTTGCTTGCTGTAACCTAAACCGTGGATGGGGGAAAGGAGGTTGGAGTGTGTATGTAGCTTTTTCTTTTAAGTTGCAGCATATCAATCCTACTCAGCCTGGGGCAGAAGGGGACTGTTGGGGTTGATGGGGGTCTGGTTGCTTGTGGATATATTAAGTGTTCAGTTTTATGTATGTATGAATGAATCCCACATAAACGGCTAATTCTTATGTAAATGTGGTTTCCCTACAGTTCCAGAAAGAATATCCTGAAATATACAAGAGCCGATTTCCGACCACCGAAAGCGAAGCCAAACTGTTCGGAGACAAGCCAACTATTAAGCAGCCGATGTTGGTCCTGAGAAGACCAAAGTTCCGCAACTTAAGATATTGACTAGAAGAATCGCATAAGTAGGACAGTCTCCACCTCTTTGTATGGAAAGCCATTGATCATAAAAATACTGTATATTCTCTATACCCTTCAGAGAAGACACCTGGATGAGAACCTTTCACACATCTATTCAGACCATTATTTTGTCGGGTTTTTTTTTTTGTTTCTAAATTTATATCCTCCTCCTGAAAGTGCTACTTCCCAGGCTGTCTCTGGCTTTTTGGAAATCTGTCCCTAATAAACCAGTATATTAGATATAAAATATTGGTGGCTGAACACCTACCAGAAGGCAGATAGTCTACAGGAGCCAATGGTACTGGAGACATGGAGAGTTTCTTAAAGTAGACTTGGGTCAGCTTGCTTTACTTACTGGAGGTTGGCCCCATGTCTATAGCGCAGACACCTCCAGTTCGCAGCATGCATGATCTTCTCTTCAGAGCTGATCATCCTGGGCACACTGTTCAACCGCAGCTTTCAGAGTGGCCCACCTTCTACTGGCCCTCATACCTTCCTATTGACCATTTATACCACCCATTGTATTTGCTGATCAATAGGCAGTAGCACCTGACTGAAGGAATTCTGTGTGCTGGCCCTCATACCTTCCCATTGGCCATTTAGACCACCCATTGTATTTTGGAGGTCAATAGGAAGTTGCAGGGGACTGGAGGAGTTGGGCTACGTATAAACCACAGAAGCTATAGTAGACATTTGCAATAATGAGTGCCCAGAATTTTGGGGATAGATCTGGGGCCACCTTCTAAGCTTTATGTGACCCGGCAGGTTTATTTTAGAAGAAATGTAATATTGAGCTGTTTGTTGTCTGATGGGAAAGACCACAGTGACCTCTACAACATGGATCACACGTCAGAATCCCTAAACTTTTTATATATTTGAGATGTACAAAGTACCACATTGTTGGGTAAGCACCTGCTAGAACACAGGCAAGGGCCAATGATGTAGGATTCCCTTTTAAAAAAAAAAGAAAAAAATGTTCAGATCTTTAAATTCCTTTGCACTAGTTTTTCAAAAGTAGAATGTTCTTGAGGCGCAAGTATAATGCAAATGAATATGACGTGGCAGGTAAGTTAAGACGGCCATATGATCTGGAGGAAACTTGTACAGATCAATGAGCACCTCCCAATATGCTAGTTACCAGGTTGTCATGCTGATCAATGGCTTCCATACTCTAAGTCACTGACCCCTCATGATTTGCTTAGATCTATGGTGGGGTCAATAACTAAAACTATGATGATCAGAGAGGCAGCCAGGTGGCTCAATTTCAATATGTTTTGAATTGGGGAGACTGTTCAAATATTTTAATTTTTTTTATCCCTTCCAGATAAAATATTGAACTGACATCATTTCTGTTTACATATTTGCATTGTGTTTTTTGTGTTCGTGTATTTCGTTTGTTTTCCTTCTAAATGAAACATTGAACTGACATAATTGCTGTTTACATATCACCATTTTGCCATTTTATTGTCTTGTGTGTTCATATTTTTCCTCCAAGTTGAAATGAAGTATGTTCAACGCTTTGCCAAAGAGTTATTTGTTTGTAATGTCTGCAGTCTTTTTTTCCTCCTTCAGATAATTCAAGTGACACTAAACTCAGGAGTTATATCATAAAAATACAATCGAGTGCCTTATCTATTAATAAAAATGTATCTTATTTGTGTATCACTCGGCGGTAGATCCTCCAATCATCTCTGAATTGGTGCTGGCACTGTCCTTCCTTCTGGAGGGGGGCTACTTTTGTTCCCCATGGTCCCTGTGTGTGTTGTAAAGTAGTCACCGCTCCAAGCTCGCTCCTGTGATGGACTACAATCTCACATTATGTTTACTAATTTCTATTGAGATTGTAGACCATCACGGGAGCGAGCTTGGAGCGGTGACTACTTTACAACACACAGGGACCATGGGGACTCCAGAAGGAAGGACAGTGTCAGCACCAATTCAGAGATGATTGGAGGATCTACAGCCGTGTGATACACAAATAAGATACAATTGTTAATAGTTAAGGCTTTTGAATGCATTTTTAAGGTTGAACTCCTGACTTTAGAGTCACTTTAAGGCTTTATTTACACTGATGCAATAGAGGCAAGCTACATTTTTTGACTTTTGTTTGGGGGGTTTTTTCTGCATTTTACAATCTTGTCACATGACCATCTCGGGAAGATGCAGAAGCAGGAATGTTTAAATGTACTGGAGCACACCGTAGTGAATGCACCTGAAGGCATTGTACACGGGCTTTATCTTGTATACAGTGACGCCTGTGTGTAGACTTTCACTTGAATCATCATAAAGCCTATGAATATTTTTGTGACATCATATCTAATATACATTTTTTTTTTTCTGTATACCCAAAGTAATAGTTTGAATATCCTTTTTATTTCTGCATGACCGTGCACAACTTGACCTCATTTTTCATAGAGCTTTTTTTTAAGACAATGTCTATAAAGCTAAATTGGATCAGGGTGCAAAACATTTACAAATTGTAAGTCACAGGTTCTTCTTATATAACTTGTTTACTATAAATGCTATATAGGCATCACTATTATTGGTTTGCACCCACAGACAGCCATTCTGCAAGTTCTGCTGCGCTTTATCTAAAACGACTAAAGCTGGATACAAACTGTATGAATTGAATTGGCCCGGGCAATGTGTGCCAAAACTGTAGCAGATGGTCGGATCTAAATGATCCATATAACGTGAATCTAAATTGTCCAAAATTTGTTCAGAGGCACTTCAGAAGCCATTGCTTCTTAAACATTTGGGCCTATTCTCACCGTATCTATTGTGCTGCAATCTGTTTTTCAAGGGATGCTAACGGTAGAGTACCGAAAAATGAATGGGGCTAGTTCACACCACTCCATTGCGTTGCCTTATGTTGTGCATGTTCAGCGCAATCTAACGCAACGAATCCAGTGTGAACTAGCCCCATTCATTTTTCAGTGCCCCTCCGTTTAGCATCCCTTGCAGAACGAATCAAAGTACAAATGCAAGTCAACAGCCCCGCCGTTGATTTGCAATTGCCTTCTGACTGCACCCTTAATGCCCTAGACCAGATATGGGGCAAACTCCAGCCCTCCATCTGTTGGGGAACCACAAATCCCTTTCAGCATTGCAAGACTGAAAGCCACAGGCATGACTCCTAGAGGCAGATGCATGATGGAGTTTGCAGTTTGTTGCGGCTGGAGGGTCTGTGCTAGACAAAATGGCTGCCACTACCGTGAGCATTACACAGGTTCTCTTTAATACAAAACCACCACAGTGCCTCAGAAATGACAACTGGTCTCTTTTTTGTTATTTGTGTTGTTGTGTCTTTTTGTCACTTGCTAGGTTTTGCACTCCATTGTATATATTGTATTTATGTGTCCAGTATTGTATCTTAATTTTGAATGTAATCGATTGCTTTGCACCTGCTTGAAAACACTTGAAGCATTCATTGTTAAAAAAAAAAGCATGTTTTTAATAAATAAATGAATTTTCTATCCTGTTGTAGCCTGAAATGCAGAAAATATATTCCGTTCTGCTCTTAGCTTCTTAATATGTGACAGTCACAAGGAAGTCTGTGTATTAGGTGTAACATTTCTGGCTGCTGCTTTGCATATATCTATTGGGTCAGTGGTTTGGAAAGCATCAAGGACAGTATGTTACCTTTTTAAAGTGACATTAAACCCTCAGATTTTTTAACATAAAACAATACTGTAATGTGCGCCTTACTGTAATCCATGGTTGTTTCCCTTCTCTTTGCTGCTCTTCCTTTTTAAATCTGTATCTGTTCTCATGCTGGGCAGAACTTCTGTTTTGCAGCAGACTGCCTTGTCTCTGAAATGGCTACATAGTGTCTGTGTGTACGTTTGCAACCTGAGCCAGCACTACAGGAAGAGGCACTCAGCTGCAGAGGGAAGTTCTCCCCAAGCATGAGAAGACATGAGGAATTAAAAGGAAGAGCAGCAAAGAGAAGGGAAACAACCATGGATTACAGTAAGGCGCACATTACAGTATTGGTTTATGTTAAAAAAAATCTGAGGGTTTAATGTCACTTTAATGGTCGAGCAACTAACATTTCTTTCTAGTCTGTTATCGACAGTCTTTAACCTTTTGAGTTATACTGCCACCTACAGGAGAAGTGGACGGTGGCAAATAAAATAACTGATCACTTCACTTCAACTTCCAGTTTTCAAGTAGGCTGGATGTTGTCATGTTATATATTGTGGTTAGGGATGCACCGATACTGTTTTCCGGTATTGAATATGAGGCTGGGCGGCGTGTAATGACTCGCCGTCCGGCTTCCTGATTAGCCGGGGAGCCATCTCCATGCTCCCTCGTCTCATTGGCTGGGAAGCCAGCTCCCTGGTAATGAGGGAGCGTGAAGCCGGCTTCACGGCCAATCAGGAAGTCGGGCAGCGTGTAATGACTCGGCTGCCTGATACCGGAGGTTGGCCATAGGCAATGGGAGCATTTGGGAGAGTACAAGTACGTGCCCAAATACTCTGTATCAATATCGGTGTATCCCTAACAAATACCATTTTTCTCCAGCCTGAATACGAGTGCTGAGACTTTTCCTCAAGTACTCGCTGGTACCAATTACGGATGAGATTTTTCAGGAAGGAAGCGAAAAATGTGGGGCCAGCGCTATAAACAGGCTCTGCGGTTCACAGGAAGGCTGCCGAGGTCCCCAGCAAGCGTGGGACCTTAGAGCAGTCGAACCTGTTTAAAAAATTTAAAGGGCCAGTATCGGCCTTTAGCATCGGAGCATTTTCACAAGTGATCGGGAAAATGCCCAGTAGTGGCACTGATGTCGGTATTGGTGCATCCCTAATGAAATACATAAAGCAATGCTAGTTTGTTTTTTGTTGTTGTATTTGGTACTTCAATTTTGTATGCTTTATAGCTAGGTACATCCTGCAGCCGTCTAATCTGACGCTTTTTATAGCTTAGCAGCTCCTCCTGAGGATGGTCAATGGAAGCTATGGAACACTATTTATTTATTTTTTCCTTTCTTAGGTTGGTCTTTCACTGTTTTGATTAAATCTGAATAGAGATAGATGGTCTTCAGGTTTGTCCTATGTACCAGTGACCACATTTTCTAGAGGAGATGGTGTGGTCATAAGATGGAGTGCTTGGCTCAGAGGACTAAGCTGCTCCTTTCCCGTCCATGGTAGCGAAGGCTGAGTACTTGTATTGTCGTACATTCCAGGTTTGTGTTTCTGGGTACAGCCGCTACCCCAGCTTGTGACAACCATAACCTAATATTTCAGGCTGTCAGCCTTTGTATGGAGCCTGCAATGGATTAATAGAGAGGATCATTAGGAAGTACTGAATTGCGAGAGTATAGCTTGGTGTCTGTTAAACTAAGTAATGTTACCCGAAAGTAAAATTGTGGTAAACAATAGGTTCAGTAAAATATAAATGTACTTTTTATAAACACATTTTCTTTTTTATATATCCCAGGCCATAAGGAAACTTTGCAAATATAAAGTTACATAACAAAACATTCCTTCCAGAGATGTCATAGGCTCAGTCTATCCTAAACATTGCTTTGTTTACTTTAGTCTGTGTACACTATATACCATGCAGACAGCAACATGCTTCAGACCAGGACTGAGCAAAACAAAAAAGCATTCAGGTTAACTTTTAATATGTGTTCTGTTTTCCACAACTGTCTGTATGGCATCACAAGGGGGTTGGACTGGCCTTAGTTAAACCTGTGCAGAAGCCCCCTCAGCAGTCTCCTTGAGGGCTGGTGCAGACCTGGGCGATCCGAGACCGTGTGATCTTGTGCAGTTGCCGTGCCGCCCCATTGATTTCAATGGGGTTACATCTGCGTGGCAATCGCAGAAAACAAAGGAACATGTACTTTCTTTTGTGACATGATGCGCTGCTTTTGTTTTTTGCCGCGATGATGGTCAACTGCACGGCCCGCCCAGCGCGACTGGGATGCCATTAGAAAATAAGTGCAATCGGCGGCGCTGGACGATTCCGTGACTTTGCGGTGTTGTGCACAATTGCCGAGCGGTCACGGATCGCCATAGCGTGAACCTGATCTTAAAGGACAAGTGTATTATCTGAACCCTTGTTAGATGGCCATTCTTGTGGCCATTCTTGTGGCAATAGGTGGCAATAAAAGACATTGGCTTGGATACATATTTCTGGTGTGCTGGTGACATCTTGTTTCTTCATTGCAATGCCTCAGGGGACTTGTAGTGCCACAACAGCTGGAGTGCCAAAGTTGCCTACCCCTGGGTTAGTACATTTAGGGAATAGGGAGGAAACTGTAGAGGGGGCTTCTGCACAAGTCTATCTAATTGATTGGAGCAGCGCCTTTCGTAGTCATTTCAGCACCAACCAAGAAGATTGGGGTTTTCCAGTAAGGAGTGCGGTAGGATATCCACGAGGCATTGCAAGACTCTTGACAACCAAAGGCATGATAGGACTTGCAGTTTCACCACAGCTGGAGTGCCAAGGTTGCTTACCCCTGTATTAAGCCTTTCCCACCAGGTACTTGCCTTCCCTGACGGCGGCTCCCTCTTACGTTGTCTATATAAGAATCTAATGCTAGGGTGCCCACTCCTGTCCACTTGCATCTTGAGTCTGCAGCATTCTCCTGGAGCCCATGGTAGCACAGACAGTAAGAATTACACAGCCTTGAAATGTGCTGTGCTCTGTAGGGATCAGAAGAAGGCTCCACATGCGTTGTGTAGGACACAAATCTGACACTGCCCTAAGTGTTGAACACTAACATTGAGATTCTAACGGAGGCTGCGGCCTTAGTGAACACAGGAGATGTGGACCATCAGACGGGTGAGTACAATGCTTCATCTTTTGCTGATGACAATGTCTCTTTAATGCAGAAGCTCAGAGGATGAGGATTTTAAACTGCTGCATTGAAGATCATATCAGCACGGATCATAGAGTACAGGTGCCGTGCCATTATCTAACCTGCCGATACACGATGAAGAGAGAAACGATTTCAAACGGCGACTTCCTTCCAGCGTGCCGTCCGGGGTCAAGATCCCTTTAATATTTTACCGATCTGTCCCATAGTAATGGCATGAAAGGAGAGGAAATAATAATCCTGCTCCGGCCCTTTTGTATGGCCGAGTCTTTGTGCCGGATCCCCAGAAGAAACTCTCACATTCTTTTCTAAGATCCTTGTTAAACACTCTGAGAAATGCAGAAGAAGCGATAGGCGTAATCTCATCACATGTGTTCCAGGACAAGGTGCTTAGGGCCGGAAAAACTACATAACCAGATAATACGACCCTTCCTAATCCCGTTACACAATTCGCCAACAATCAGCGTTTACAATGGCGATGTCACCGTCAATTCATCTGCCTATGAATCTTGTTTAACAATCTACGTACCTGTCCCAGGTTCACTGGCTAGACATTCGCCAATGCTACACTGCGCCAATGTGGATAAGGTTGACCTTGCATCAGATAGACTTTTTTTTCGCATTAAAGAATATGTAAACCCTGTAAAATACCTGTTGATCCTGCCAGAAATCCAGTGAGCTGATAACTTCCTGTGTTCTCTGCCTGTGCTGCACAGTTATCAGTTACATTGTTTTCAGCTATCTCTTGGGGACTACAGCGCCCCTTCCTCCAGGGTTCCTCCTAGAGATATTACCTCCAGGCATCCCGGCCTGCTCACTGACGTCATTGGTTGCCAGGAGCTGGGCGGACACCAGCCAGAGCATCAGGTTCAGCTCCTGGCAACCGGTGACGTCACAGCTTGCCGTGCGCTGGACGGGACGCCGGCCATAGAGTCACAGATTGCTAAAAGCTCCTAGCAACCTGGGACACTCTGGCAGGAAAGGGGGTAGCAGGCATACCTGCCGCCCAACCCCGCATGACCCAATGAACTGCCTCATTGTAGGGATGTCCTTGCCTCCCTTCAAAGTATGGAAAAGAGGAGAGAGGGAGGTCTTCTGTAGTCCAGCCCTAGGGCAAACAATGCTGCTTCATCATATGCCTACACTGAGTGGCCAGATTATTATGACCACCCCATCAGTACTTCGTTGGGCCGCCTCATGACTCCACGAGATGATGAAAGGTAATGCAAGGAATCTGACACTGCACTGTTGCCCTTCTGTTGTCTTGTACCAGTCTTGACACTCTCCGTTCTGCCCCAACATTGACTAGTCGCTGACGGCCACAATTCGCACGTTCAGACCCAGATTTTCGGCTGACAGTCCGGTCTTTAAACACTTTAACAACAGCTGCTCTTGAACATTTAACGAATTCTGCTGTTTTGCTGATACTCGCTCCATGGCTCCGAGCGCCAACAATCATTGCACGTTCAAAGGCTGTTACATCGCGTTGTTTCCCCAAATCTTCAGAAATAAATCACGTCTACTGTCGTGGTAAACAACCTGCTTCCCGATTTATAATGGTCTGGCCCTCTAGCAACTTCAGCGCCAAATTATAGCTAATTTGCCTACAAACGTCAGGTGGTCATAATAAACTGGCCACTCAGTGTATATTTAGATGGAAAAACCTCCAGGGGGTCGCACTCCTCCCTTCCTCTCTTATTCCCAATATTCCTCGTTCCACCCAAGAACAATTCCTTCCTGTCCCTACCCCTAGAATATTTGTGTGCAGCTTCTACGCTCATCCCATCACCGCCTCTCTGCAGGAGCCTATTCTTCATGTCTTTAGGTTGTCAAAAACGTTATCCTGATTGTGGTCTAACTGGTCATAAACGGAGCAAACTGAACCCTCCCCTGTCATTGGCTGGGTTTGCTGAGTGGAGTCTAAGGGACGTGCGATATTTACCAGGGACCCCCGGGTCAATGTATAGGGATGCACCGAGACCGGTATTGAGTACGAGTACCGATATTTTTTTTCCGGTACTCGCCGATACCGAGTACCAGAAGTCCCATTCAGGAAGCCAGGCGACGTGTAAAGACTCGCCACCCAGTATCGGTGCGTCCCTAGTTCTGATGCCCTATTACAGAGTCAACATGTTCATCTGGTCTTGCACACCAGTCATATAATCAGTAGCCGGGCTCTGGGCAATGCTGCACTGAATTGTGAAACGGGCCCTTTGATGGAGGAGCATCATTAGATCAGCCCAGACACCAGCCAGGAAAATAAGACACAATGGCCCTGTATGGAGATTTGACCATAGGACTCCATTGTGGAGCCGACTGTTTTACAAATTGTAAGCACAGCAGTGTGTGGAAACACTTGTCCGGCTGCGTGACCGAATTCTTTCCCGAGATTCTTTCATTTAATCCGTTGTTGGCTTGAAAGGATTTAGAACTAAATGTTTTTTTTCAAAGAAACTCCTTGTGAGAAGAGCAAAGACGCTGAAGACTCGGAAAAAAAAAAGTCCTTCAAGAGAATTCCAAGAACTGAAAGGGACTTCTGTTCCTGGCTCCCCCTCTGATTGGCCGCTGTGTCTTTTTAAGGAGATTACACTGCTGAAACAAATCAAAATCCCTATAAATAGCTCAGTGATCCGAATATCCAACCTCACTCTCTCTGCGCTGCTGGTCCACAGGAAGAGACGCCATGACGAGTCGGTAAGTGGGATGTAGGCCTTGTACTGAATGTTCAGATCTGACCCCTAATACCCTAAACAAGAGACCATTACAGGATATTTGGCATTAAAAATATAAATCATAACAAAAATAAGTAATAAATAACAGGCATTCTAATGAACCAATTCGGCTCCAGTACCGATAAACCATAAACTCATGGACCAGAATCATTTTGCATTTTTACGGTAACTTTGTCATGACATAAATGACAAAGTAATACGTTTACAGTTTTATTAGAAAAAAAATAGGCTCTATTTTGACAATTTTTTTTGCTATAATTATTTAAAATTCTATGGAATCAATAGTCAAAACAAATATGGAAAAAAATTGTTTTTTATGCTTTGACCAGTGTTAGTTTTTTTTAAATGAGTGTTTTACTGTTAATTCAGTTCACTTTAAAATGACATTAAAATGAGGTTTCTGGTGCAAAGCATGGGAAAGTTATTTGCAAATGGAAAAAATAATTCATGATTTGTTAATTTTTATATATAATATCCAAAACAAGCCTTTCTCAACCCGGGTCCTGTGGCAGCCTAGAATGCCTTCTGGCTTCCTCAGGGGTGCATTGAAATCCTCCTGATGTTAAGGGGGGCTTCTGATGTGAAAGAGGGGGACTCTGATGTGAAGGAGGGCTTCTAGGTTTGCCACCTGTCCAGGGTTCACCCGGACAGTTTGGGTTTTGAATGCTGTGTCCATGTTTCATGGCAACAAAATCCCGGACACATAATGTCAGGTAGACAGGGGCAACCAAAATTAAGATAGGGGCTACTGGCCCCCCACTGAAAATAATCTCAACTGTGATACTTACATAGGAATGGGTGGCGCTATTTACATATGAATCAGCTACGACTCATTTTCCCCCAAAAAATGTCTGCGCGTTGCTAGAGTGTTCGGGTTTTGCTTGAAGAAAAGGTGGCAACCCTAGGGGCTTCTGATATGAAAGTGGGGGCTCTGATGTAAAGGGGGGCTCCCGATTTGAAGAGACAACTCCTGATCAGCAATCAGCTCCTGATTTGAAGAGACACCTCATATTTTGTGAATTTGCATGGGGTCCCCCCTTTAAATCCATTACATTCTAGAGTGGGCTGTCTTAGGATTTTGCATACTTTTAAAGGGTACCGGGACTGAAAAAAAGGTGGGAAAATGCTGATCTAAACACTAGCTAATCACATGATATTTGGCATGAAAAATATAAATCATTAGAAAAATCATAAATGCCAGTCATTTTAATGAAGCACTTCGGCACTGGTACCGGTATATCACTCATGGACCAGAACGATTTTTACATTTCCACCATGGGCCTGTTTTTTATGATAACATTACATAAGATATAAAAGTAATACATTTGCATTTTTGTTTACAAGAAAAAAAATACAAGAAAAAAAAGACTCTTTATTGGCATTTATTAAAATTTGCAAAATTATTTATTGTTCTGTGGAAACTACAGATATAAAGACTTTCCAAAATGTGTTTTTTTTTTCTGCTTTGACTAGTGTTAGTTTAAAAAAAAAATGTGTTATACTGTAAATAAAAAGTATACATTTTATTCTATCATTTGTTCAGTTTAAAATTACACTAAAATTAGGTTTCTGGTGCAAAGCATGGCAAAGTTTTTTGCAAATGAGAAAAATATATATATTTTTTTTTTTTACTTTGT